AGGAAAAAGAGGGAGCGCGGTGATAAGTGAGCTGTAGCATGCGATAGTAGTGCACTAATCATGGTCTCCAGCTGAAGAAACACACTGGCGCCTCACAGGGTATTGAGAGATAATGAGATTCTCAGGGCAGCAGACACACAGCTAAAGACAGAGATGAAATTTGAAAATAAATAATGCAAAATCTTCTTTCTCTCCTGCTCTGCATGTGCGTGCGCTTGTTTGTTTGTTTGTGTCTGTCCATGTGAGTGTATATTGTGACTGCAGCTAAATGTCCCGTATGATGAAAAATGAGGAAATAAGGCATTAGCTAATTCAGGAAGAGAAACAAAGCCAGCTTTCAGAGTTTGAGTACTGATTTTAGATTCTTTGCCATAAAATTGAAAAATAAAATTGGCGAGGCAAAAGAGGAAATCTCAGCATAAAAAATTATTTTTTGATATCCACTGACACTCATAACAACCACTTCTAGATGTGAAACTATTGAAAAGAACAAACCCTTTGTAAATATGCATATAAAGTTTAGATGTGAATATCCTACTGTGAGAAGAGCTTTGCTTCACATTGTCTAAATGCTCAAATGGTACCTCAATATAAAGTTGTTGTTTTTTTTTTTGTCTTTACATCTGAAGATTTGTCACACTGTTGACATCCTGCAGCTGATGGCAGAATTAGCTGTGATAAAACATGGTTTCGCTTGATGCCACAGGCCCCTCTGCAGTTATTATGAAGCTGCAGTATTTGCAAGATTATCATGACTGATATGGATTTTCTCATGATTTGAGTCAGGACACCCACAGAGCACTGCAGGTCAAAGATGATTCGCTTGTAGCTCCAACCATTCAACTAGCACAGCTCTCTGACAGAGAGTAAGGGATAAACAATCACCTCAGGTGAGAGGTTTTGTGTACTAAAAGATGTTACAGCAGTTTAAATCAAATCTACTGTATAATATTTTCTTTAGAGTATTCCTAAAAGAGTAGTAAGAAATTGTTCACAAAAAACAAATGATGCATAACCATGACCCAGTACGTGTGAATGAACATGAAAGATTTCAACTGGAAAGAATCACAACGGGAAGATTTCCTTTGAATTTCTGCATGATATTAACATGCAAGACAACAAGCTGGCCACAGGCTGAGTCTGTCTTCCTGGCACACACACCCCCACACACCCCCCCAGCCATATCCAGTGCACCCTGTAAGCTGTCACTCATCCTCTGCCACAGTGACCCCTGTCAGGGCGGTGGCACTTTGGGGGAACATGGTTACCATGCCATTCACACACACTTGCTTTGTATTTGTTTATTTAGCTTCAGTTTCTGGTGTCTGCCTTCTTCCTGTCCGTCTGCTCCTAACATGCACCTGCTGTCACAGTCTTGCCTTTTACTTGGACAGCTCTGACTGCTATGCACTGTCTGTGAACACTGAGGTGTTGGAGTCCATCTATCTACAGATCCACTCTCTAACTCCACTGAGTTTCACTGAACTTTGAGGAGGCATTGTTCACCACTGTGGCTTATGGCTTACTTCAGTATGGTTCTTAAATATTAGACACATTTTATATTAACAATGGACCAACTGATTTGAAATGTGTAAGAATTCTTGGTGACAAACCCACAGATAATTATCAAGACTCCACAATTCCCCTTAGCATCTTTCAGCTCATTGTTTTTCTGGACTGTAACTTTACTTTGTTAGTTCCCACTCTTCTAAATAACCTAGTTTCCAGCCGCAGCAAAGTGACCATTCCTCAAAATAAAAGGACTAAATACATTATTTGTTACTTGACACAAGTGGGAGAAAGTGTTTGATGCTCTGATGGGAGGAGGACATTTTTCCAAAACTGTTAGGAATCTTATGATGGACTCATAGGTTTTTTTGATGTAAAATAACAATGAATATGCAGATGTTTGGTTAGGTTTAGGCACAAAATGAAAGGAAAGATTATGGTTTGGGTTAAAATAAGCACTTAGTCATAGTTAGAGGGCCTCTGTCACATTCCCTCATTTGTTGTTCTGATGATGGTGGCGGAGACGTTGTCTAACACATCTCCTATAGGTGTTCAAGGGGGTTGAGATCTGGTGACTTCGAAGGCCATAGCATAAGAATTCACATCACTTTCATCCTCATCAAACCATTCAGTGACCCCTTGTGTCCACTGGATGGGTGCACTGTCATCCTGGAGGAAACCATTCAGTTATTCAGGTTTTTACTTTATTTTGTCTGTGGGTTACTGTGGTGATCTAACCGTATTAAAGGATAGCCAGCATTGTGATGCTGGAAAACCTGAGATAAAACCGAAAATAGCTGCTAATTCATCAATCTCACATCTTTATGATACAGGCCCCTGATCTGTGCAGTGTTGATACACATACAGAATGACATGTAGTCGTGCTTTGCTCCTTTACACACTGAAGAAGTTTGCTATGAAGTATATAATAAACACCTGCAAGAGTAAACAGAGGATAGAGACTAATGAGTCTTGTTATTTTATCCAACGGCACTTCCCTCATACACAAGGTACAGTATACAAAGCTCCCCAGAACGCTAATTGTTATGATTTAGCAGCTTTGAAAGACTCTGATAGCAAGGTTGTTTGTGCAGGATGAGTACACTAAGAGTGGCTCAAGACAAAGGAGCATGTGTTTTAATTACAGCCTAACAGTGACAAAAGAAAAAAAATGACAACCTCTACAACAACAGCTACACCTGCAGCAATCATTTCATTTGCTTGTTCTACATTGTCAGCGTCAGGACACCACTGAACAGATGTCGAAGCACATGCTGGCCTTTTAAACTGCTTAAAACACATCACACATATTCTCTTGGGCAATTAATTGGTTATTTTGAACCTAATAGGGGGGCAGGGACATACATGACAGACGTAAAGAGGTGGGTTCCCATACAGATTAGACGTGTCTTAATTGTGCCTCTCTAACTTTCATTGTTTGCTGGATGCAATGCAGTGCAGAAAGAAATCACAGCCAGGCAATGAATGTGGTGTTCAGCTCACAGGGAATAATTCATCCTCCTTCATACTGTAACTGAATTTAACCGAGGAGAGAGGCAATGAACTCAGCAGGTGGGGGTTAACAAAATACATTTGAAGTCTTCTTTAACCAGTTCTATCTACAGCAGTGTTTAAGTGCTACCTAAAATGTTAATCCTCCCGTTTTGAGAGGTAACTGATCAAATTTTATTTCAGCATTAGAAGAATAATAAATAAAGATTTATATTGTTTCCTTTTAAAGGAAAATAAGAAATGTCATTTTATAGCTACAGATACTGAGGATCTATAAACCATTTCAATAGAATTCAGTCATAATGCATAGCTAATGGGCTAAACCATGATCGTTTTAACTGCAGGCGGCACATTGAGAGCAGGTAATTATAACACCAATACACCACTGACTGAGTGCGACTGGGAGTTCATATAGACAATGGAGGGATTTGATCACACACAGTGGACAAAGACATACCCACATTGTTTCATACAGGTAGTTTTGATGACATTTGGATAAAAGTGTGAGACTTATGTGGATTCAGAAGTCTCATACTCATTGACATGGTATATAAGGGCC